CCTCTCTCTTTCTTCCTTTCCCGAAAGGGAGGGGGGAGGGGGGGGGGATAGGACGTGCGGAGGCGAGGAGGAGAGGCCAGTAAGGGATCCACAGAATCGAATCGAATGGTACATTGCCGCCGCCAACAGCACCGTCGACGACGCGCTCCTACCCGCCCTGCCTCGCCCGCCACCCCCGAGTCGCTGTCCGGCCAGACACATGTGGGCAGCAATCCCCGGACAGGAGGAGGTCCCGGCAAATTGTGTCCGAGCCGTGCCGTGCCGCCGTGCTGCTGGGCGGCAAGGACTGGGGGGAGGGGGTGGGGGGCGGAAGGGACGCTCTGCGGTATAATCGAAGCATTCCAGGCCGGCGGTCGACCCGGTCCGGACTACCCTTGGTTACGAGTCAGCACTGGGCCAAAAGAACAAAAAAGCTACCGATCAAGTAGTTCCTATTTGCGTTTTTGAAAAGTGATAATTTTTACAGTGGCGTATTTTGTTACAAAATGTTCATTTTTCGACGAAATATATATTTTTTAAAGATAGTATAGAGCACGTTTTAGGGAATTCAGTTAACTGAACGAGATTTAATCTCTGGCGGCCGCCTGCAACGGTCGAACCGTAGAGTCCTAAGTACCAACCGCAAATATACCTTTGAGCCCATACGTAACCCTATCGAACCCAACTGTAAGCACTTGCTTGAAATATAAACGGCGCCGCAAGCGGGAGAGAGCGGTAGAGCGCTGCAAGCGGGCAGGCGCAGCCCCGGGCCCCTGTCAGTCTCGGCATAGGCCGCCCGGCCAGCACGCGGGCGGCCCTGCTGCCTACCGCCCGGGGTGCGGCGGCGCTCGGAGCGGCTCTGAGCATACGGCGCGGCCACGGGCCTCGTGCTTACCTTGGCTAACTTCGGCGAGGAAGAGTCGAGAGCCCCATCATGTCCTGGAATCAAACAGGAAGCACGTCGTCAGTCGAGAGCTGTCAAGAAGCCGGAAAGGGCAGACAGAGGGCGGGCTGCGCAGCCGTCATTGAGGCGCTGGAGACCTCTTATCAGCGCTTATCAGCCGGGCCGAGGCCGGCTGGCGTGACGGCGCGGTGTCCAGAATAGCGCTCCGAGTTCACCGGGGCAGCCTTCGAGGTAACCGTGACCCGCGGCTGCACCTTGCAAAGGTCTCGGGTAAGTGCAGCTTGGAAATATTATGCAGTAAAGAGAAACAATTTGCCTACGAGCTCGCGCCGTCACGGCATGCGCGGTTCATGGAAAATGTTCACAACTTTTACGGGCACCGGCGACACAACTTTAAATTCCTGGAGCACTTTTGGCGCCGAGGGGTCGCGGCCGTAGGCGAGGCTCGGCGAAGGAAATAGGCGCATCTGAAAACACCTGGGATCTACAAGTTATACAAGGAGACGAGGAAGGAGAGTCAAGGTGCGGGGGGCACCGGGGCACTCGGAGCCGTGCAGGGGCGCGGGGTCCCGCGCGAGGTCTGACCCTCTCCAGGACCTCTGGAATATCATGAATACTAATCCCCGCCCGGAGGACCGCGCCAGCTCAAAGGAGCGGGATCCGCCGAGGGATTGGCGCCCCTTTGCCTCGGCGGCGCGCGGCCGCTCGGGCGGCCCGGCTGCAAGGAGGAGGCTGATGGAAAGGCGCGGCCAAGGCGGCGGCAGGCGCGGCCAAACACAAGCAAAACGGACAAAGTTTGGCGCGTCCGGATACTAAGTACAAATTCGCTCAGAAACTTACTTATCTCGCGAGGCCCCGAGGGGGGCGGCTGGCAAGGGGAGCGGGGGCCGTGCAACTGAACTGAAAGCTGCAGTATGGCACTGACATTGGAGAGACCATGTCACAAATTGGGCTCCAGTTTGTTAAACGCTGCTCTGTGGAAGGGTGAGGGTTCAGGGAGGGGGGGGGGGGGGGGGGGGGGGGGGGGGGGGGGGGGGGGGGGGGGGGGGGGGGGGGGGGGGGGTGAGGACAGCGCGGGGGTAACGAAGCTTAACGCCCTTAACGGTCGTCCTGATTGTGTAAACACACTGTATTTGCTGCTGCTGTTGTTGTTGTTGTTGTTGCTGCTGCCGCTGTTCTCTAAATGAAAAGGTTGCACGTCTGCGTGAAAAGTAATCCTGAAAAAGGTGTGGAGTAGTTATGGGGATTATCTCAAACAGTCAGCAGCTCTAGCGTTGGCTTGAGGGAGGACGCCTGAGGGGGTGGTATAATGTGTGTTCTCTCAGCTCAGCGCAAGCTAGCTTGACAATACAATCTGCGCCAGCCAACAACTCATTTCAGCGAGTGGCAACGGGTGTGGACGGGGTAGGGCGGGGCAGGGCGGGGCGGGTAGGAGCACGAGAGGGTGGGGGGCAAAGAGAGAAAGAACTGTTCTCTCTAATCAGCACGTAGGGCCGTCAGTATGAGTAACGACCTTGGCGCAAACTGATAAAACGGCCCCAGCGCTGCACATAATCGCCCTCCAGGGGCGGCTGGAGCGGGCCGGGCGAGGCGGGGCCGGTCAAGAGCGCTAAGCCCAGGCAATTTGCGCTGTAATAATGTTTTTAAGATGGAGATTATCAATGTTGCAAGGTTATATCGGAGGCTGTTATACCACCGTGAAAAAAGTTGGGAAAAAAAATCAACTTTAAAAAACAGATTTGCCTTTCAGATTTGACAGAGAGAGGAGTGCAGAGGCAGGGTACAGGGAGGGAGGCAGGGTAAAGGAGAGATGAGGCAGGGTGCAGGAAGGTGGCTGCGGCGGCGAGTCGAGTTTACTTTCCTTGTTCACGCCGACAAGATGGTTGCGAGCTGCTTTTTAAAACTTTACGGAGTTGGCGGCAAAGGGTCGGGTTTTTAAATGTTTGCATGCCGCCGTGGTGTGGTCTGCCCCCAAGGCCGACGGCGCGACGGGTGAGTCACCATCAGTGAGGCCACCTCGCCTGCCTCCGCGCATACAGGTGGCGCCTGGGGGTGCCCTCCCGCACGCGCAACGCACACACACGCACACACACACACACACGGCGCTTATGCTCCAGGCCGCACATTCAAAACCACGTCGAAAACAAAAGGAAAGAATAATTTGTACATATCAAAGCGCGGAGGAGGAGTTCGAAACGACTGCCAATAATGAACAACGGGCAACAATTGATAGGACTAATCGGACAACGTGTGGCCGAGCAGGCAGGGGGTGCTTCTCGCCCTGCGCACAAGTGAGCAGAGGGGTGGACGTGGACATGTCAGTGCGACGCGGCTGTCAAGGCCGGTCGGGTTGACATGTCGGCCCTGAGGGACGGTGCGCAGCGCGCGCCGGTACCCGACGGCACCTAAATACGTACCAAGTCCACGCGCTGGGAGGAGACCAGGTGGCATGCAACAGCTGCAGAGCACACTCGCAATACACCGAAACACTCGCAATACACCCGAACTCGCGGCAGTACACGACGCGACGCCTGCCCGAACCGTCCCGTACGCCCGCCGCTCTGGGTCCACACTGAGGGCACTCACTGGGGCCAGGCCGGCACTGCCTGGACTGCCTGGGGGTGGCGGGGTGGTGGGGTGACGCGG